CTCCATACACATCATTGGATGGGGGTCAAAAGGGAAAACGAACACGTACTGGGTCCAGGGGCTGAGCTCCCAACATTTGTGTTCTTGCCCTTCTTCAATCCATCTGCACTGGGAAAGGGGAATGTAGAGGGGGAAACCACCAGAAGGTGAACCTGTCCCATTTTTTCTGTAGGTCTGGCTTTTGACATGAGCATGCCAAATTAACACAAAAAGGGTTAAGAGAAATAATTTAAAAACTTAAAATGAAATGTCACTTTAAATCATGGGCACGTTTAAGCCTGCGATACAGTAAACAAACAGCTTGAAAGGTAGAAGCCCAATACTATTGTTTAATCTCTTTTTATACCCAAAATGTGGGGGTTTTCAAAAAATTTAAAATCAAAGGTCCAGGGACTGGGGGGCAAGTTTTATACTGAACAAGTTACAGTGGAATGAAATTTTACAGTTTAACAGTACAAACGCAATGATTGCTTATCCCAACTATTGCTTTGCTTCAATTTCTATTGGGGGCTTGAAATTCGACACTAACAGCGCACCACGGCTGGTGAAAGGACTGTCATGGGGTCATTTCTTTGTAATTTTTCATGATTTTAAACCCTGTATAGGAGGGGAGATGGGTTTATTACCTTTGTAACGCCCGATTTCACCAATCTACCCGGATTCAATACCTTTTTTAACTAGTTCAGCTATCATAACTTTGGGGTCCGTCCCGGACCCCGGACCTCTGTAAACTTTTTTACAACCCCCCACAGGGGGTATGATGCATAAAAACATTAAACTAACAATAATACCTTTCTTTTTATCGATCAATTAATTTGTATTTTTTTTGTACGTATCATGCCTAACTTCAAGACAAACCTTTCATTATATTTAGCAGGACATAATTAACTACAAATTTTTGGGAGGAGTAAAGTATGGGACATTGAATTAGAAATAACTTTCTATAGCAAGATAAAGTGAGTGTTGATTTATTTAACAAAATTTATCTGGTTCATTCAGAGGTCAGTTTCAGTTTTCATAATCCATTTGGAGGAGAGTTCACCTGTGATAAAAAAAATGTATGGACTTGCCTGAGTATTAACACCAATGAGAACTTTTGTTTTTAGTTACTCGATTTCTGATGGTTTTGATAAGTTCTTTCCACATATTTACTAGTACATGGGCATTCTAGGATGATCCTTGTCACTTTTTTTCCGCACTTTGTCAAGTTTTCCTAACTTTCTGTCCGATACAGCTATCTGAATACATTTTCACAATTCTCGCATTAGCATCCAATCTTGTCACAGATTCAAGTACTCTCATTCTTTCATCTATTATAATTTAGATTTCATTATCTCAACAAGTTCGAGTCTTTTAGCCACAGTATAAATAAAATTAATTTTTTTTAAAGTCAGAGAGAGCTATAAGTTAAAATAAATTTTGACGAAAGGGGAAATTTCCCCGCTATTTAGGTTGAAAAATAGATTGCTGTATTCTGTAGCCAGGCACTCACGTCACTTAAACCCCTGTAGCCTAGCAAGCCGGGGTTCAAAACATTGGTGTCAAGTGTAGGATCACTATGCCGGATCTTATAACACTTGGTGCCAAATCATCCAGTGTCTGAACATCAGATGTCAGAACATCGGGTATCGGAATGTCAGCCAATCGAAAAACCAGGGATTGGAGCAATGGTCGTTCGAACACCAATCAAAATGCAATGCGTGGGGAAGACTGGTATTGAAGTGCCAAGTGTTGGACCATCACTGAGTCACACTGGGACACACTATCCTGAGCTATTTAGAGCTTACATTCTGACAGTGATATCCCAGAAGCAAGGAAGACACACGAGCGGCCAGTTGCATGCAGTGTACAGTGTACTTATGCTAACAACGATGGGGACTTTATACAAGAACACTTTAACATACTCAAAGAGTCCACAGACAGTCCATGGACTCTCAGAGCAACATTATGACAGTCCCACATGGACTCACAGGAAGAAATATAGGAATATTGCCCTATAGGTGAAGAGGGTAACACAAGAACGTTACTAGCCCGTACCTCCTAATTTCAACCTACGTGGCTTTTGGCCCATGAACTCACAAGTGAGCGTAAGGACACTGTCCCATGGATTCAAAAGCCAACATCAAAACACTGTCCCAGTGACTCTTGAGACACCAACATATGGATGCTGATCCATGGATTCACGAAGACGCTGTCCCACACAGGATTTAAAATACCATCCTTACAATATTATGCATTCCGGTACCATGATATTATTGACATTCTTCTACTTCCTGATGTAAACCAGACGACCATTCTTAATTTTCTCGCTAAACAGAATAAGGTTCGATCCCATGGCAAGCCAGTTTAAAACCTGCTTGCTATGGGATCGAATCCCACTCCATTTTGGGATTATTTGCTGTGGCAAGTTGACCAAGTTAAGAAGCTGGTGACTGGGGTAAGGAAACAAGAGGCTATAATAAGTATTACAGACGTTTCGTTCAGGAAGTTTATCAGAGTAGATAAAGCTCAATTCTGAGCAAAACATGTCTAAAAATTAACAGTTCCTATATTTTTTTATATATTTAAAAGCAAGTATAAGAAGACAGAAAGCAGTCTACGTGTATTTAAGGGCTAGTACAAGGAGACAAGGTTGTTTATGATTCAAGAAGAAAGAGCAAATCTTCTGAGAAGCATCAGAAATTGCAGACAGCTGCTCGTAGAGTATAATCTTACACTGAGATATGCCAGTGTTGATGTGTCTCCAGGGAAGCCATCACTAGCTTATTATATTCACAGCGAAATACAAAATCTATAATGGTCATTCAGCGCTTGGAGAGAGTTACTCAGGTTTGATCATAAGAAGGAAAGGATAACTAGTTTCTGGCATCAAGAACCTTCACCAAGGTTTACAAATGAGGGATTAACTTCGACATGCAAGACACATACGGTAACTAGGACATTTGTTGATGTACTAGTTAACACGCCTTTTTTATAGCCTTACACCAGCAGCAGTAAAACCTTGAAAGGTATTTAGGTCACAGAGAACCACCCGTGTACTGGCAGTTTTATATATGGAACTATCCAATCTCTACCACAATGATCCCTTTTTTTTTTTCAGTGGGGTGTAAAACCTAGTTTGGGCATGCCAGTGGATGCTTAACCACTTAACGGATGTCAGGAGACACCTGTTTCCTGATGATCATACCATCTTATGGCCAGTACAAACAAGGGGGATCCTTCAGTACATTACTGATCGCATAGTACACTATTCTGTCACTGATAGTAGCCTCCTGGAGCTAAATATTTTTCTCATACATATTCTTTCAAGTACATTTTGGTTTAATCCCAAATCGAACAAATCTTCGGCAGTTAGTGGACTATCCTGACGAAATAAAAATGGCAGGAATAATATCGAAATTTCCCTTTGTTAGAAAACCCCTTAAAACGCACTTTACTGTTTTGTTACACAGGGGGAAAAATTGAAGCATACTGATACCCTATTTTTGTTTTTACAGTGGGTTACACAGTGAAAGCAAAAGTGCCCTAGCTACTTTTTCCCCCGTCATGAACCAGAACCCCGGTGGGATTTCTTGTTTTCCAATGATAAAATCTGTCGGGTTTTGAGCTGGGAGCGAGGAATTGCAAGTATTCCAGTGCGGTTCACCAGCAACCCCAGCATTAATGAATTTTCCCCCAAAAATACACCGCATGCTAGGGGTTTTCCCTTTTTGTCCTAAAAAATTTTATATGAAAACTATTTTTTGGGAAAGCTCAGAAAAAAAAAATAGGCCCGTATTTTTTCCCAGATTTTCCAGTTTTCACTCTTAATTTTTGTAACAAGGTTCGGTTTTACCGAGTTTACAATAGCCATGTGTAGAGTATAAAAATTAAAAAGAACTACCAGAAACAGAGGAGGTTTGACAAAAAATGACCCATGTATCAAAATCTTCCCTATGAGGATAGCCTGGGGCCCTAAATCTGCATCTTAGAAAGGCGTGGGAATTTAAAGGGGGGATTGTTTGAGGTGAAATAAATGGAAAACGGGAAATAAAAAAAGGGGGATGTAAATAGCTTTGCTAAAAAAATTTCCAGCCAAAAACGGGAAACTCGCAGAAAAGGGTTTAAAATTGGAAAAATTTCAGATTCAGAAAGGAAATAGGAAAGCACTTTTTTGGTAAAAAGGGGTTGTAAATGAGTGGAAAAAACTCCCGAGTACATTTTATGGGAGGCAAAACTTTGTGTTTTTTAAAAAATGGGTTTTAGATAAATACAGAAGGGTTTTTTGGGGGGTGGGTGTGAGTTGGACCTGACAAAGTTTGTGCTCCCTGGGTCTGGTACAGGCTCCATCCTTGGGGGGGGGGATGCCCCAACGGGGGTGGGTCTTTGGGTCAAAGGGGGGGGGGGGGACAGGACCGCTTCGCATGGGCATTGGGCCCTTTTGCAGTGTTCCTTCTTTATGTTCTTAAGGAACAAAAAGGCCATTTTCCCGAATGGAACAATTACCCGGCTCCCTCACCTTCCTGTGGTTAAATTTTGAATTTTAAATGATCCAAATCAGACCGAAACGTCGTCATAAGCTTCCCCCAAAACCCATGTGCGGGTTGTGTACTATTAGTATAGTTTATTCTTCCCGCTTACATAATATAAAAACATAAGATCATAAGAAAGAAGGAACACTGCAGCAGGCCTCTTGGCCCATGCGAGGCAGGTCCAAAACCCCCTAAACCCGGGTTAAAACCAAAGCCTTGAAACCAGTCAAGTCAGTCACATTCACTTAAGGGAGGAGCACGGCATCTGACCTAGTAGCACAAGCTAGTCAGGTCCAACTCACACCCACTCATGTATTAATCCGTTTTAAAACTACACAACGTCTTAGCTTCTACGAGCAGATAAGACTGAAACAGTAATATGCAGCGAGATCACAGTAACCTAACAAGGTGAGGGAGGAGCACGGCATCTGACCTAGTAGCACAAGCTAGTCAGGTCCAACTCACACCCACTCATGTATTAATCCGTTTTAAAACTACACAACGTCTTAGCTTCTACGAGCAGATAAGACTGAAACAGTAATATGCAGCGAGATCACAGTAACCTAACAAGGTGACTGACCTGAGAGCGACGCCCAGGTTGAGGAGAGAATCTACGGTGCTCCAGGTAGTGTACAGACCCATACCGTTGTGCCAGAGAACACGGTACATCCACAGGTCTACTTTAGCATGACGACACATCCAAGGACCATGACGATACACACTGAAAACGTATAAGTGTGGTTAATTAAAAGAGCTGCGGACTGAGTGATGGTTAATGTACTTTTATTGTTTGTATCTTTATGCCTGACGGAAAAGAAACTAAATCCAGTAACTAAGTAGCAGTACGTTTTATCCCTAAAATATTTCTCGATTGACGAGACGTTTTGCCTGCACGAAAAACTTTTCTTCAGTTTAGCATATCAAAAAATATACTGGAAACAGTTGTAAACGAGGTAATCAGTCCCTCGGCCTTGATACAAGGTGTTCAGTCCATTATCATTGATAGGTGTTCCGTACTCAGCTTTGATCTAACACCTGCCAAACATCTTATCTAAACTGACTTATTCCATTATTTAATTCCACCTCACATTCCATGTATCACTTCATGTTCTTAATATTGAATTCATAAATACTCCTAACGGGCGAAAAGTCCTTAATAAATGTCCTAATACTACACAAGTCTCTCACCTAAGTAATGCAATATTCCATCTCAGGAATATTTAGTTGCTCATTACAAGAATTAAATTTACTAAATAGCAAACAGGCGCTTTTTATGCTCTATTTCATCTATGGGACACTCCTGTAATTTATTAAATAGCAAACAGGCATTGTTGATGCCGTTTACTTGTCCCTGTTGTAATTTCTAAGTATGGCCTTATTTATGAAGCCGATGGAGAGAGAGATTCATCGTACCTGTAGTGTATCATGCCGAAAGCCATCCAGTTAGTGAGGCAGACGAACCAGAGGAGGGCTGAGGAGAAGACGAGGAGCTCGTTGTCCCAGACGAAGAGCCAGGCGATGTTGGCCAGCAGGTTGAAGGTGTAGGTGAGCAGGAATGAGGAGGTCAGAACTGACGGGGTCACATAAACTGGACCCACAGCGTTCTTCCGGCACAGCAAGATCAAGGCTGCAATAACCACAAGCAAGTTGGCTGAATCATTTCAGATGTCAGGCTAGAATCTGTAAATTGCATAACGAATAAGACATTTGCAACACACGAGTATCTTGCTGTAACCTTACGGCGATGAAGATAAAATATCTAAGTGTTGCACATGTCTTATTCGCCAACTTATCACTTATTTACCGTCCAAAATATTTATTAAAAGAACAGTTTCGTCACGATTAATGAAACCTATGATGGTGAAACGTCTGTAGTGTCCTGAACTACCTGTGTCCTTATCCTTGTCTACTAGTGTTTATAGGATTGACTTACGATCCAAGCTAAATATTTGATTAGCAGGATTACATCAGGATTAAGGATAAAAGTGTGTGTATAACACTGCAAGGACCGTGTGTGGATTAAAGCTGAGAGAGAGAGAGAGAGAGAGAAGAGAGAGAGAGAGAGAGAGAGAGAGAGAGAGAGAGAGAGAGAGAGAGAGAGAGAGAGAGAGAGAGAGAGATAGATAGATAGATTAGGAAGTTGAAAAGATCAAGGATGCTAGTAAGAGAGGGTGGTGCCTGAAGGAGCAACCAAGGAACAAATGCGTGAGGGTTGGGATGGGAAGGTGCTGTCGCAAATCAAGTTTCTGTGTGAATTAGGGGAGCGACTGAGTGCGTTGAAGCAAGCAAGGGAGTGAGCATGTAGGGAATGCGTAGGAGTGCGTTCTCATGAGGTAGAGCAGATGAGTTAAAAGGACCTATCCTGTAGAGCTTCCACAAGTCAATGACTTGTTAAAGCTCTAGACAGAGAGCAACATTGACACAACAGAGGCTTGCTCTAAACCTATGTTATTTCTTCGTTACCGTGGGCAGTACGCTGCTGTAAAAGGCCACTTACCGTACAACTGAGCCAGCAGGAGCCAGATATATATGACGGTCCATATCATGAAGGTGAAGCCGGCTGGAGTCACAGCTATCTCATACCTAGCAGACAGATTGCCCACTGTTGCGTTGTAGATACCTGTGTGAAATATTAATTTATATTATGTATGTCCGCCGAATAGGTAAAACTGGTCAATTAGCAAGAACTCATTTAAAATTAAATCCTTTCTAAAATTTTCTCATACGTTTAAAGATATATTTTTTTTCATTTATGTTAATGTAAAAATTAATAATTTTGTACCAAAAAAAATTAGAAAACTTACCTAACCTTATTATAACAAGAGCAATTTAATTTGGCCTAAATCAAATTATATAATATATATATAATATATATATATATATATATATATATATATATATATATATATATAATATATATATATATATATATATATATATATATATATTAGATAAGTTTACAATAATTTAATAATAAACACAATGAAATATACTTTTTTCGTTAGATTCAGAATAATTTTTGCGAAATTATTGCATACACAAATTTTCGCTTGCCTGGTTCGGCAAGAGGAGCGTTGCTATTTAAGCCAAAATCTTAAGTTTTATCTATTCGGCACGACATATATATACATATATATATACGCAGTGTTGTGGTTTACCTGGAGAGGGTTTCGGGGGTCAACGCCCCCGCGGCTCGGTCTGAGACCAGGCCTCATGGTGGATCAGGGTCTGATCAACCAGACTGTTACTGCTAGCCGCAACAGCTGTTGGGAAGCCTTACAGTACCGTTAGTCTAAGATCTGTATGAGTTCGTGCCAAGACCTCATCACGGCAGGAATCGTCCTCATGCCATCGCAAATCATCACCATGCAACCATTGTATTATTACCTTTATGACATTTTATTACGAGAGTTAGTTCTAAGGCTTGGAGGGCGGGTGAGATAACCCACCAGCCTCGTGGATTAGTGATCAGAGCGTTCGGCTCACATCTGCAAGGCCTGGGTCCAATCCCGAGCGAGGAAAGACGTATGGGAAGGTCTAACACCTGGTGCCGTTATTCATCTAGCAGTAAATTAGATACCTGTGCATTTGTCAGCTGTTGTAGGTCGCATCCTGAAGGAGGGATGTATGTAACCCTGTGACCTACCGTAGCTAACCACAACCACGCAGTTAATAAGAGATGATCAAAACTAGAAGAAAAAATGAGATTATATCCAACAAGGAAAAATTCCCGTCGGCTGTTAACGGGTTTCCGTTAGTCCAATCTATTTCAGATCCTGGTTGCCCAACAGAGAAGCTCGTAAGATCAGGTTTGCCTCGACACTCCTGGCTAGCATGACTAAAGTTGACTCAATATGTATTTTTGAATTAGTGCAGCCGTAGTATGTAGATACCTATCCTGTACGATAGTTACATGATGAGAACACCCGCAGTATGTGGCTATACTATTCTATACGATAGTTACATGGTGGGGACACCCGCAGTATGTGGCTATACTATTCTATACGATAGTTACATGGTGGGGACACCCGCAGTATGTGGCTATACTATTCTATACGATAGTCACATGGTGGGGACACCCACAGTATGTGGCTATGCTATTCTATAAGTTAGTTACATAGCAGGGACACCCGCAGTATATGGCTATGCTACTCTATACGATAGTTACATGGTGGGGACACCTGCAGTTGGGTTACTCTGATAATTACATGGTGGTGGGAGTAGCAGCAGTGGTGGTGGCGAGTCAAGTGGCAGATATGCAAAAACAAAGGTCATGCAAAAATAGAGGTCATGCAAGAACACAGGTCGTGCAAGAAAACAGGTCGCGCAAGAACAGAGACTGTGATAGAGGTTATTACTTATATCTGGTCCAACTAAACCATTATTACCTTCAGTATTATTCCGCCGTGATTCCTTCAGTACTACCACAAGTAGTTAAGTAAAATGACAATTGGAACTAATATGACGGCTTGACAAAGCTCCTGGAGAGCGGAACGCTGCCACAACAAAACGTCATATTAGTTGCACTTGTGTCCTTTTACTTAACATATTGTCGGTAATTCTACCAATATTAATACAACACAAGTAGTTGTATTCATTTACAGGTTACCGACGTGTGGGCCGGCCATTGTAGGTCAGGCTAGGATAAAGTTACTTCACATCATCCATGGATAGCGTCTGGCCTGATGAGAATGTATAAACACGTATGCACAGTTCGAGACGTTGAGGAAACGTTTCGCCATCATGAGTGGCTTCTGGTGTAACAATCCCTCACTGTCTTGAATTGTGTGTACACATGTCTATTTACATACTGTTCGTATCTCCATACCTGTCCTCCAGTGAAATAACTTCGTTTACGTCTCCAAGTCGTAATAACTCACATGACGGAGGGAACTTAATCATTCATCAAGTTAGTTATTGAGCAGCCGGTCTGAGGCGCCTACGTTCTGCTTGCACCAATATTTTGATCATTCAGAAAGCCTGGTCTGGGACAGATCCCCGGAGCCAAAAACTAAGTAAAGAAATCCTCTTTCATAAGTTGTAACGGGGGAACAAACGCCAGACTGATGTAAATGGATTATAAAGTCGAGGTGCATAAAAATCAAGTTTGTTGTACACTCGTATGGTATTCATCAGGAACTGCGTCAGGAGCTGGTCCTCTCAAATTAGCTGATAACCCGTTCGCGAACTCCCGAAGGAATCAGTCTGAGAGGCTTGTGTAATATTTGGGAATCTTTGTTACGGAAGAGTTCAGCCAGCCAATGGTTTCCTCAGTCCATTACAGAGATGAACGATGGAAGATGAGGCTGAAGGACTGATTACCTCAAACTTCACCGTTCTCTGTATCGGACTGAAGAAGCCACTGCCTGGCTAAACGTTTCAATAATATTCTCAAGTGTTGCACAAGTGTCATTTTTTGTACACCAGACTGAACGCCTGTACTGTCGTTGATGACCGCCTCGTCGACGACCGTCTCACTGATGACCGCCTCGTCGACGACCGTCTCACTGATGACCGCCTCGTCGATGACCCCCCTCATTAATGACCCACCTCATTGATGACCCACCTCATTGATGACCCTCTCATTGATGACCCCCCTCATTGATGACCCACCTCATTGATGACCCACCTCATTGATGACCCCCTCATTGATGACCCCCTCATTGATGACCCCTCATTGATGACCCCCTCATTGATGACCCCCCTCATTGATGACCCCCCTCATTGATGACCCCCCTCATTGATGACCCCTCATTGATGACCCCCTCATTGATGACCCCTCATTGATGACCCCCCTCATTGATGACCCCCCTCATTGATGACCCCCCTCATTGATGACCCGCCTCATTGATGTTGATGTGGTATACTTTCAACTGATACGAGAGTCAGGGGAGAGTGGCAATCAATTGATGATGCCAGGGCGCACAACAGTCATAAAAAAAAACAGGAAATAACAGAAATAACACAAGAACGGAGACTACGTAAGAACAGAGACCATGGAAGAACGGCGTCATGCAAGAACACTTACCATAAAAGTACAAAGAACATGCAAGAACACCACATAAGAACAAAACGCAAGGAACAGCTCTCATGCGAAAACGAAAACACAAGAACAGCTACCATGCAAGAACAGCTTACATGCAAGAACAGTCCGCAAGAACAGCTACCATGCAAGAACAGTACGCAAGAACAGTTACCATGCAAGAACAGTACGCAAGAACAGTTACCATGCAAGAACAGTACGCAAGAACAGCACGCAGAAAGAACTACCACGTAAGAAGTACCATGCACGAACTACAATGCAAGAACTACCATGCAGGAACAACTACCGTGCAAGAACTATCATGCACGAACAACTACCATGCAAGAACTACCATGCACGAACTACCATGCAAAAACTACCATGCACGAACTACCATGCACGAACTACCATGCAAGAACTACCATGCACGAACAACTACCATGCAAGAACTATCATGCACGAACAACTACCATGCAAGAACTGCCGTGCACGAACTACCATGCACGAACTACCATGCAAGAACTACCATGCACGAACAACTACCATGCTCGAACTACCATGCAAGAACTACCATGCACGAACTACCACGCAAGAACTACCATGCACGGACAACTACCATGCAAAAAACTACCATGCACGAACAACTACCATGCAAGAACTACCATGCACGAACTACCACCATGCAAGAACTACCATGCACGAACAACAATCATGCAAGAACTACCATGCACGAACAACCATACAAGAACTACCATGCAGGAATAACTACCATGCAAGAACTATCATGCACGAACTACCAAGCAAGAACTACCTTGCACGAACAACTACCATGCAAGAACTACCATGCACGAACCACCATGCAAGAACTACCATGCAGGAACTACCACCATGCAAGAACTACCATGCACGAACTACCACCATGCAAGAACTACCATGCACGAACTACCACCATGTAAGAACTACCATGCACGAACAACTACCATGCAAGAAATATCATGCACGAACTACCACCATGTAAGAACTACCATGCACGAACAACTACCATGCAAGAAATATCATGCACGAACTACCACCATGTAAGAACTACCATGCACGAACAACTACCATGCAAGAACTACCATGCACGAACTACCATGCAAGAAATATCATGCACGAACTACCACCATGCAAGAACTATCATGCACGAACAACTACCATGCAAGAACTACCATGCACGAACAATACCATGCAAGGACTACCATACACAAACTACCATGCAAGAACTACCATGCACGAACAACTACCATGCAAGAAATATCATGCACGAACTACCACCATGTAAGAACTACCATGCACGAACACCTACCATGCAAGAACTACCATACACAAACTACCATGCAAGAACTACCATGCACAAACAACTACCATGCAAGAACTACCATGCACGAACAACTACCATGCAAGAACTATCATGCACGAACAACTACCATGCAAGAAATATCATGCACGAACTACCACCATGTAAGAACTACCATGCACGAACAACTACCATGCAAGAACTACCATACACAAACTACCATGCAAGAACTACCATGCACAAACAACTACCATGCAAGAACTACCATGCACGAACAACTACCATGCAAGAACTACCATGCACGAACAACTACCATGCAAGAACTACCATGCACGAACAACTACCATGCAAGGAGAACCGCCAGTGTTTACCTTGATGTGCCGCTCCCAGTCCATACTTGGTCGTATAGTCACTGAACTTGAGGAAAAGTCCTGTAAAAACAACGGTGCGTTATATTTCTTAACGTCAATAATACCAGCTGTTTTACGACCCCCTACGCGTTTAGCGTTCCCCATATCTGTGATAATAAATAATAATAGTAATACAATATTGACATTAGTGACGTGTGCAACACCTGGGTACCTTTATTGACGATGTTTCGCCTGTGCAGCATCGTTTCTGTGTAAATAAGGCGCATAATGAGTTTTATATCGTGAAGACGTTTCCACCACCGGAGATTATCAAGAAAGTTCCCTGGCGGGCGAAACGTCTTTACAATAAAATACCAGCATTGTGTCTTGTTTACATACTGTCAGTCTGCTGTAACACAGATCATTTCAATGTGTTAGACTGAAAAGACTGCTGCGCAGGCGAAACGTTCCGCCATTAAAAATACCAGTTTGTTGCACGAGTCAGGATGACGCAAGACAGTGGTGCTGAGAAACACATTTCTCATTACTAGAATAATTAGGGAGAGAAGAGTGTTAGAAATTAAGATGAATGAAATCAAGCTGGAATAACTTAGAAAATTAGTCATGATTTTTAGATTTAAAATGTTGAGTCAGAACTTTATTGCAATAAAATTATATTATATGCTAAATTTTCTCTCACAAGCTAAAATAAAATAAATAAACGAATAAATAAATAAATAAATACACACACACACACACACACACACACACACACACACACACACACACACACACACACACACACACACACACACACACACACACACACACACACACACACACATTCATTCATTCATTCATTCATTCATTCATTCATTCATTCATTCATTCATTCATTCATTCATTCTCTCTCCTCTCTCTCTCTCTCTCTCTCTCTCCTCTCTCTCTCTCTCTCTCTCTCTCTCTCTCTCTCACTCTCACTCTCATTTTGAGATAAACTTTCGAAGGCTCGAAAAAAGTAGTGGTACTGTGGCTAAATTTGAAAAAAAAAAAATCTTAGCATGAAATATTACCGATTTATGTATAAATTTGTCGAAAAATGATCACCCGTCAGCATTACACCAGTGTAAATGATCACCCATCAGCATTACACCAGTGTAAATGATCACCCGTCAGCATTACACCAGTGTAAATGATCACCCATCAGCATTACACCAGTGTAAATGATCACCCATCAGCATTACACCAGTGTAAATGATCACCCGTCAGCATTACACCAGTGTAAATGATCACCCGTCAGCATTACACCAGTGTAAATGATCACCCGTCAGCATTACACCAGTGTAAATGATCACCCATCAGCATTACACCAGTGTAAATGATCACCCGTCAGCATTACACCAGTGTAAATGATCACCCGTCAGCATTACACCAGTGTAAATGATCACCCGTCAGCATTACACCAGTGTAAATGATCACCCATCAGCATTACACCAGTGTAAATGATCACCCGTCAGCATTACACCAGTGTAAATGATCACCCATCAGCATTACAACCAGTGTAAATGATCACCCATCAGCATTACACCAGTGTAAATGATCACCCATCAGCATTACACCAGTGTAAATGATCACCCATCAGCATTACACCAGTGTAAATGATCACCCGTCAGCATTACACCAGTGTAAATGATCACCCGTCAGCATTACACCAGTGTAAATGATCACCCGTCAGCATTACACCAGTGTAAATGATCACCCATCAGCATTACACCAGTGTAAATGATCACCCGTCAGCATTACACCAGTGTAAATGATCACCCGTCAGCATCACACCAGTGTAAATGATCACCCATCAGCATTACACCAGTGTAAATGATCACCCATCAGCATTACACCAGTGTAAATGATCACCCATCAGCATTACACCAGTGAAATGATCACCCGTCAGCATTACACCTGTGTAAATGATCACCCGTCCAACATTACACTGTTGGGGGGGCCCTATTTGTATCAGGGTCCCAGGTTTCCACCAGATTTCCTGAATTCTAAAGTCCCAGCTGTCTTCCGTTTTATTATGTACCCAGCATGCTCTGTGACTCTCTGCAGTGCTGGGAACCGCCGTAGCCTATGCAGTGCTAGGAGCCACCGTAGCTTCTGCAGTGCTGGGAGCCACCGTAGCCCGTGAATCGGTGTCGAGGTCTACAAACTATACAGGAATTGACTTATGTTCGAGGAACAGAGGGGGACTATTATAGTATGTTGTTATTCGCTATTTCACTTGCTTGGTGAAGGACTCCCTGGAGTGTCTGCATATTATATCCTTTACCAGGATAAGGGTGAGGGAATCTAATTCTTCTTTCTGTGGAACCTTCTGCCCTACGTCCAGGGTGATCACGCATATTATTTTCACCCTACTAACCTTATCCAGACACTAAATATTTATTTTGAAAACGTGGGAGTACATCCCAAGAGGCCCTTCCATTTCGAGCCATCGAGAATGGTCGCACTGAAAATGCAGACACCCGTGGAAAAACTGACTATGAATATGGGTTGGGTCTGTGACGAGAGGTATAATGGTCTCTGTGACCACAACCCGGCCTTGTATCTCTATTGTATCCTCACTACACCCCATTACTACGTCCTTATTGTCAACAGTCTTAACCGCGACGGCGGGATTCTTGGAATAGCCGTCGTATGGCTCCCGGCCCACTGAAGCCTCGCTCTTGGGGAAGAGAGCAGTGGTGGCCGAAGAAATGGCCTTAGTGGCGGAAGACCTGGCCGTGGTGGCAGAATAAGTAGACATGGTGGCGCTTTCCACAACTCTCCTGGTAGATGGGACCTCACTGCACCTACGCATCAGGGTTGCGACACGGGTTTCGAGAGTAAGAGACGGTGTCTCGAAGAGTGGTAGCTCCTCTTCCTCCTCCTCTTCCATGCTTATGTCCCACATGTGATGAGCAATTAACAGGTACGAGTAGTAGACCACCAGCAGGACGCTTCCCACTACCAGAAGTAAATTCACGATAAGCCACATGTACGAAGGATGAGGCTGACCCAAGAGGGTCTTCAGGGCAGAGACATGATGCAGTTCGCTGATGCAGGAGCCGATGAAGGGGAACCACTGCATCACGCCAGGCTCTTCAACACACAGTTGGAACTCCTTGGTTCTGTACAACTCACCCTTAGCGGTCTTGAGGGACTATTGCAACCCCTGAATGGGTTACAATGTATATGATATATATATATATATATATATATATATATATATATATATATATATATATATATATATATATATATATATATATATAATGTATATTACCTTTTCATATAATTTTATATTGCTTATATTTGCGATAATAGCTAAATCGTAAATATATTGCTTTATATTATTATTTGACTTAGTTACTTTTGTTAGGTAGGATGTAACACATATATTATGTGCTCATAGTTCAAGTCTTGATTGTCTAACTACTGTAATTATCGCTCTTTGCTCGTTATTCTGCCGGCTTCTGTTGCTGAACTTAGATTCAGTAGCATGGGAGCTTTGTGACTTTTGTGGAGGATCTGCTGATGGTCCCTACTTAGTGTCATTATATTATCTCCTTGATCCTGATTTTGTGTCACAGTTGCTTGTTATATTGCTATTGGGCTTAGCATTCTTTTTATTGTTCAAGCAGACTGTTCTGATTGCCGGTTGGTTAAGAAGTTAGTTTATTTGAGGACTTTGTCAGTCACTTGTTTAAGTCTAGTCGAGTCATGAGACATAGCGAACTACTAAGAGCACATACACACAAACTTACTTGTACATATTTGTAATATCTTATTAAATGTTAATGTACCAGACGGTACTTAAGAATTATAAATGAGATATGTGCTTTCAGCACAATAATACTGTACACGAGAGAAGTGATTAATATTATTTTGATTACTGTGATTAATTTAATTTGATATACACCTAGACAACTTAATTATTAATAAATTTATTAAATTTTAATTTCTCTGGTTAGTAGCCTACCAGTTGTAATCCTGAAGCACTATTGAATCATACTGAATTCTAATGGATAATTGGACAAGGATACTGACTAATTGTTACAAAAACCCAGTAACAGGCTGGATGTTGGAAGGGCAGTCCTTTCTAGTATTCACTGGAGATCTCTAAGTTTTTAGAATCGCGTTTTTTGTAACAAATGGGGGCCTGTCCGGGATGCTCTTGATCCAAGGTGTTGGAGAAATTGTCCAGTTTGTCATACTAGTAACCCTATACTCAAACACTTTGAGTACTTTCCTAATCTGAAGACTGAGTTTAGTCTTGTACAACATACTAGGAGGATGTATGTACTTTGATCGAGTCTCTTGATCCAGGGAGATGGAAATACTGTTTATGAGTTCTAACTTTAAGACAAGCAACACTAAATTTCCTATTAGGATTATAGTTTCCCATAATCACTCTCTCGTAGAACACTTGTTTTCGTGATGTATGCCAAAGTGAAAGTGTTAATTGATACTCTGTCTTAGTTAAGTACATTAAAACTTCAGACGTGTTGGCAAGTAGCCAAATATCTCGGTGTGACGTATAACAGGAATTACACCGCAGAAACTGTCGGAACGTTGATTAAAGATATATTGTTTCCTGCTCATACAAAGATGTCTGATTATGATTCAGATTCACAAAGCCTAGTGTCACAATTAGGAAGTATGACTATTTGATGATGAAGAGAGAGCAACTACGGCAGAAGTGTCTGAGCCTAGTGTAGCTCAGTTCTTGCTCATGCCTTCCCTCCTAACTGGTAGTATGACTCAGCCTCATACTAGTACCGTGTATGCTACACCTGTATCTACTTATCCTAGACCAGATCTACTCTCTCTAGAGACGGTTGGACGAGGTGCCAGACCTAAGGACCATCCAGAAAGACATGTTAATTTCCCTACTCCTCTGTTACCTACTGGTCCTATCTCTCAGGAACAGTTTGAGAGGTTTGAACGCCTCATGTTGCAAACTGCACAAATAGAGGCACAGAGGAAATTGAACGAAGAAGATTTCCAGAGAGAAAATATTCGTCTTGGAAGACAACAGA